ACTCATACATACATACACACACACACACACACACATATTGTTTTTGGCAAATTCCGACCTAATCAGTTCAATTTCTTGAAGTCTTTTTTTTTTTTGCTCTGTCAGCACACAAGCCTGATTATCACGTTGGTTTGGATAGACCATCTTTTGTTGAAATATGTTTGTTCATCATGTGGCACAGTGGCATCCTGACACGAGACGGGTTGCTGAGCACAGAAAGTCATTTATAGTCATGAATACTTCTGGTTTACCCTCTGTTATGATCTTCTTTTCAGCTAAGCATTGCGAGAGCAGTCACAAAAAAATTATTCCCATTTACAGTAATATCCCCCCATGCTACTTTGTATCTTATTCCAACCATAAACTCAGAGACAGGGTTTTAGAGGCCTGCCAGTATGATGTCCTGATCCCTGCAGCATATAATAAGAGAGCATGAGGCTAGCAACACTCAGAAGAGCTTTCTCATTATGCAGTCTGTTCATATATGTGAAGGGTAGCAGGTGATATTCAACTGAAAGTGAAAGTCTCAAATCTAATAAATTACTGTTTATCCAAAACCCCAGCTCAGTGATATTCTCCAGATATTAAGTCAGCAAATTGCCTGCCTCAGCACATGCCTGAAGCAACAGAGCCCTAAAGCAGATGGGGCCTCTGGTGGTTCTTATATCTGTGATTATTACTTTCTAGCCTTTCCACAAGTAATGTAGTCTGTGATTCTAACTGAACTTTTGGTCCTTTGGACGTCTCGTCAGCATTTTCTTAAGACTTTTTTAGGGTTACCCCTCTCAGTGCTACTGTTTGTTCCTGTGCTGTACACGTTCATCTCTCTAAGTTAACGCTGCGTTGCTCTTTTAACTCCACTTCCTACTTCCTATCTATCAGCTTCCCTTCCTTGCAATATCCCTTACCTCAGTTACCTGGTTATACCTTAGCAAATGTGCTTTAATGAAGCTATATTTCAGTACTAGATGAGATATAATTACATTTCATGACAGATGCAAGCAAGACCGGGATGAGAAAATTACTTTTGGGAACCCTCAGAGTGTGTTCAGCTGCAGAAAGGTCATGACACTGTTGGGTAGCTCAGCACCATCCTAAAGAACTCAGGTTCATTGATGAGGAGGTTGGGGGTTTTTTGCAGCACATAAACAGTTTTGTTATTACTGAAGAGTTACATTGATTGTCAAGAGCTTGCCAAGCCAAGTCAAATGGGATGCTGGTTGATTCCAGCCTGAGCACAAGCCTGGTGACATGAGTGAGGGATGCTACCTGATGTTGTTGAAATTTAGATTAGGTAAGCACCAACAGCATCTGATAAAGCTCACATCAAGCCATCTTAGTCCAGAGCTTTCTGGGGGACAGGTACATCCTGTCCACCTGTCCTGTTACACCCTTAGCAAGGGGATGTAAGGTACCACTGCTTTAACCCACAGAGGGCATGTGCAAAGTGTCAAGTGGACAGTTTGCCTCATCCTCTGGCTCTGACCCACTGAAAGGCAAATGGCACAATCCTAATAGAAACTTATTTTTGCCACTGGATTGTAAGGGTCAGAAAAAGGGGGCCATACAGATGAATGGTGATTGGATGAAGGTTTCTCTTGTGGGCCATGGGGCTGCAAGATGAGGTGCCAGTGCTGTCTTGGAACATCAGTTTGCACTGTGCATGTGGGAGCACCTCTGTCCTTTTAGCCCTGGAGAGGTCTCTGTCCCTGTTGGTTCCTCAGAGACAGCATCAAACTCCAGCTCTATGCTGGGAAGTGCAAATGTCACCTTGAATGCAAAATGATGACTAGAGCCAAGTGAGAAATAGTTTTCCCTCTCCAAAGGAGTACTTGGGACTTCAGAATGTTCTTATTCTATGCTGGTCCTTCTCAGACCATCTGAGAAGGCAATAAGAAATGCCAGAGGTAAAAGTTCACCACAGAGGAGCAGTCTGTGTTCTGTTCTGTCAAGGCCTGGAATGTGATCGTGACCTCTATCCCACAGGACAGTGCCTGGATTCATGCTTGCAAAGGCAGTGTGCTCTCAGTCTGATCAGAGCTCCTTCCCTTGGAAGAAAAGGTGAAGTAATTATTGTGACAAGGACCTGACCCAGGATTTTACACAGGCCAGGTGAGAGCCTGACCCTCAGAGTACAAGGATGGTTTTGCTTCAACCCAGTGAATTCATTGTTTATCAAAATGGGATCAGTTTCAAAGAGGGAGGTTGAGAAAAGTGGGTCAGGAAAATGCCTATCCCATTACAGTGAGTATTTTTATGCATGGTCAGGACACGCATAATGCCAAACTGGAGAAGACTTCATCTCCTCTTAGTAGTTCACACAGAAATAGAATTAATATAGGGCTTTCCCTTTCTCAGAATATAACAATTTGCTGCCTCCCAGTTTTGTGATGCATGTTCAGTAGGAATTGTACATTCCACATAGACGTCATTATGGATTCATGTAAATATGTCACTGTAGATTTCTTCCTTGCTTTTGATAGTTACAGCAATGAAAGCCCATGCCTGGTCTCATTCGCCCTCCCCAGCTCTGTTTTTCTTTTATATCAGCTATTTCCTGCAATACTGGTTTGAACTGCCAGAAGGAAATCTGCTGATGGGATTTCTTAATGCCTACAGTGTAGTGTAAACTACAGTCTTCTCACAGCCAAATTGATTTCAGAAATATCCCCATAAGTAAAAGTTAAAGTGAGTAACAAAATATACCTTGCACTCCCCTATAAATATGACAGCTTTTCAAAAGCAAGACCATTTTCACGAGGAATAAAGCAAAACATTGAATGGTGGCTGGGGTTCTTACTGGTCTGACATACAATGCATTATTTACCAGCAAATGTTAGCTTTCCTGCATCTCATAATGCTGGTAATTCACATAACGAGTGGGGATTGTGTCTTTCATTCTTTTGTGTTCAGTGACTGGAAGTGAAAACGATTCAAAACTCAGATGAGGGAGGAACGATCCTTTGGCGACTTAGCAATTCCAGCTGCAGGCAAATATATTGAAATATTTTTGTCTCATTAGTAGTTAGATGATGATCAACAATTATGCTGTAGTGTTCTGCTTTATCCTGACATGGCAGGGGAAAAGTGGGAATGTCTAATTTTGCCATAGAGCACTCCTTGCAATGAGCGTGTTTGTTCCAAGAGCAAAGAAGCTCTTCTGTGCTGTTCTGTCCCCAGGCTGTCAGAGTACAGGTGAGAACCCAAACCTCCATGTACTAATAATGGCCTATCAATTGCTTTCACTTCTGTTCAGTATGTGCTGAGACTGCCCATTGTCTCATCAGACTGTACCCATTCTCTGTGCCTAGCAGTTCTCAGTGGTGAGGTACCTCAAAAAGAAAGAGCACCCCTCTCCCCCAATATCCTCATTACCCCATGTGCCCCCATCTTGCACTGTAGAAAGATGTGCATGTTTTTACAGTTGATGGGTTCTCTGTGTCTGTAACTCCCTCGTTGCCAGAGAGTCCCTGCAGAGAGAGACCTCAAAAAATGAGAGAGATAGACAATCACTAACTGTATGAAGTTTAACAAGGGCAGGTGCTGGATTCTGCACCTAGGACAGGGCACTGCTGCTGTGTATAGACTAGGGAATGAGAAGCTGGAGAGCAGTGCCATGGAAAAGAACTTGGGGGACCTATTCGATGGCAAGAACATCAGTACTGAGAAAGAAGTTTAGATAATGGGCAAATGTTCCCTGTGACAAAAATTGACAGTTAAACAGCACATGTTCTTCCCCATATTCAAGTAATTTCTGTAACAGTACAGTTCACAGTGGTTCCACCATTTACAGAGGTGACACTGCTTTTATTTCAGAGCAACCAAGAGATCAAATCCTCAGACTCAAGGACATCAGGCAAAGGAATAAGACATACAGTGAGAAAAAAATCCAGATCAACTCTTTTTCACAAAAGCCCTCAGTAGCATTTATTTCTCACTCACTTTATGTCATGATTAAAAAGCCCCAGGACATAGTACTGTGTTGCTCTCTATTTCCTCTATGGAATCAGATGTCACTGCAGGAGAAAAAGAAGAGGGTCACACACTGAAGGACTCAAAGGCACTTTACCTACTGCTCCAGGGATTTTTCTAGTTTCAACATACAGAATATTCATTCCTTTGCAAAGCGTGGAAAACCACAGCAGTCTCTATCACAAGGCCTTAAAGCCACCAGTCCTACTGCTCTGTATGCTCCCTATGCTAATGTATGGAACAAGTTAATTGTTTTGCAGAGGTCTGAACCCAGGCAAGTGCCTACCTCTCCTGCAATGTCAGGTTTCCCCTGGGCGCATGGGCAGAGAAGGGAGCTGAGGTCTTCTCTAGGAAACCCTCCACCCTGTGCTGCCACAGGGCCAGGCCTCTGGATTCCAGTACAGACCATTCCTGACCCACCAAATACAGCCACATCAACTAAGCAATGAAATGAAGGGAAAAAACCCTGTAGAGATTGGAGGAAGAATTAGTGGGATTTTCGTACTTCCTATTCGTGCCTAAGGAAACCACACCACGATCACTTTTACTGCCAGAAACCACCAGAAGGTCCCAACTTGCTCAGGGGCAGTGACTGCAGGTGGAGCTCCAGCACCTCTGAAGAGGTTTCTCAATTCAGTTACATGACAAAAAGTCTGAGTGTACTCAGACTTCAACATGTTTTGTCCATTAAAACAGTTTTTTTTTTGCTCTTCTAAAAGACAAATAAACATTATCCCAGCCCAACTTCTGCTTTTCCTTGCTCTTAACTGGTGATTTGCTCATCAGGGCTCAGAATGGTATTTTTTAACAAGGAATGCACTTTACCATCACCCATGAAGCAAAAGAAACTTATGTCAATGTCAGAGACTGAAATAGTTAATGCCTTACACATTCTAAGATCACCAAAAGGCTTCTGCAGATTGAAAAGATGCAGCTGCTCACCCAGCAAAGCCCACCCTCCCTGAATACTGCCAAAGGACCTTCAGATCAGACAACCGGGTGCCACTGTCCAACTATCCTGGGTGCAGGTGCACACCTGAAGCTACAAACGATTCCGTATAAGGGAAGAGGCTAAGAAGAGGCAAATCATTCAAGGTGAGAGAATCCCTCTTATCATGCCAATGTCCTCCCTTTACAGGATAACTGTGCATCTAACCTGAGCTGTGCAACTCAAATGTCGGACCGCGATGGACAGGATTGATGCTGACACAACAGGCAGCTGCAGCTGTCAGGAGATGTCAGGGACTCGTGACATGTCCTGTTACACTATCCATTGTAAAACTCCTCGGCCTGGGGAGGTACAAGGTGCTCCCACCTGTGCTGGAAGTGTTTAATAACTCTTAACACCTTTGAGTTTGGTGGGCCTACCCCCGCCCCACCAATGGACCAAGACCATGGTCTCCCTCAGCAGACGTGGAAGCTGCAACTACCAGGTTTCATCACTGGATCCAGTGGATAGTGGCTTTATACATCTTTCCACCCTTATCCTTTCTTTCCCTTTCTCTCCCTTATGTATTTCCTTAAGTTTACCTCTATGCTTTAATAATGCTTTATTGCTGTAGATTGTTATGTTTTAATGGTGCTATATTGCTGTGCTTTAATGTTGCTATATCGCTATGGGTGTTTTACTTTATGCTTTAATAGCATTATAGCACTATAGCTTTATTGCTATAAGGTGCTTTAATGTTGGTATGCTTTAATAAGTGCTATATTGCTACGCTTTAATGTTGCTATATTGCTATAGATGCTTTAATATTGCTGTATTGCTAAAGATGATAACACCCAAAATGGCAACATACCTGTTTACCTTTGAAACAAACTGTTCTAAAATAAACCCTACATATATATGTTTACAAACACCAATCACTCAGTGTCATTCCACTCTAATCGACCCCAAGGTATTTATTAATAAGAACCTGGGTTACCCTCCCTTTCTGGCATGGCTCGTAACAGTCAAAGATCATATTTCCTCTGGAAGCAATGCCCATAATGCACACCTGAAACTCTTTCAGGCAGAAGCTCCTATTTCCATAGGAGCTCCTTCATGCATGTCTTCAGTATGTCTGGAAATTCTGAAAATCCTCTGCCTCCTTCAGCAAAAGCTGCCAAGGCTCTCAGGATCAGACTCTTAAAAGCATTCTGACAATGGAAAATAATGTCCACAGCCTTTGAGGGTTGTAGGTAGCACCTTTTCCTAGCAAATGTTTCCCCTCCTAAAGTTGATGCTACTCAGTATTTCAATATCCAGTGAATTGCTTTCTTTAAAATAATGCTATGCAAAATCGTTCAAAATACAGAAACAATACTATATATTACAACATACAGAGCCTACAAATCAAATTAATATTTTAAATAAATATATAAAAAATATAATCATCTATAAAAATAAATAATATTTTAAATTAAAAGCATTTAAGCAATCTGAGGGAAGGAGAAACTGTCTTAAAAAAAGTTACAACTAAATGCCATTATTTTATCTTTGCAATCATATACCTATTGGACTGAAGTTGTTATTTCAAGGTATTATACAGTCCTAGAAAAACCAATGTCTGTATAGTGGGCTTGGTAAACTTCATCAATCCTCTCACAGCACTGCAACACAGTAGGAAAGAAAAAAGCCATACCTTTCCATTAGAATAGAAGCTGATTACACATAATCAAATTTTACATCGCCAACTCTGTTTCCAGTCTTCCAGGTTTTCTTTGTTTGTGGCTTAAAGGCCTGTCACAGCTCCATCTGAAATGAAGTTTTCCTCTCAACAGAAAGTGTATAAATCCATATCTGTAAGGAAAAGGAAGTTTAAGGCAACTATTTTTACAACTGATCACCAATTTTTGCAAATTACATAATTTGGGTGCCAGACGTGAGACACTTAGAGTGCTTTCATTTTCAGCAAAAGATGCTGAGCAGTTGACTTTCACACCAGCTATAGAAATCCAGATTCAAAAGAAAGGAGCTCAATTCCTGGCTCTTTTGAAGTGAATGAAGGTTCCAGTCACACTGAAGTGACCATGGGTGTTACCCACCACTTGGGTGTAAGACTCTGCACTTTCACAGTAACATCATACATATAGAAATGGATACTTTTCAGGTGAAGAAGGAGAAGTAGGTGAAGGAAGAGAAAGAGGAGAAAAAGGAGAAGTAGCAGCAGCTGCTTCTTTTAGCCATGAGATGTCAGTATTGCAATCAGGCTGGCACTCAAGCTGTTTTAGCTTCCCAATGTCTCAGATCAACCTAACAGAGAGCCTTAGTTATAAAAATGTGAATGGGGATTTTATACTTTGCACCTTAGCCATAGTCCTTATTTTTGGAATGGGGTGAACATTGATGTTTCTGGGAGTTCATTTTTGGAGAAAAGTCCTCGAATGCTCTAGAAGCAGAAATCATGCAAACACTTTGTCCCTTAGGATAACAGCGGGAAATTTTGTCACATGGAGCATGAGACCAAGGTTGTGCAAAGTGTCACGTACAAGGAAACCTTTAGCATCACCCTGTGTTTCCAAGCTACTGGCTCAACCGTAAAGGAAACAGGGTGTGAATTAGAAAAGGTTACAGGATTATTAAGAAAAACTTGGAAAATCCCCAAAACCACAAGGATATAAAGAAGGCCGAAATCTCATCTCTTGATAAACTTTATGACAACTTCATTTGGCCAGAGGACTGGTTCCCAGCACTGAAAAAAAACGGTAGTTTGCTAAGTTTTTTGACCTTAGTGATGTCCATGTAATCTCTGAGTCCTTTGATCATGCACCAGTGTCTTCACACATTGAGGGGGTGGCCTAGGTGGTGATGGGGTTCTCACCACTGATATACAAGAACTTAAAGTCATCCAAATTAAAGACAGGAAATTTGTTGAGCTTAGCTGAATATTCTAGAAAGCAAATAAAGAGGATAAAAATAGCTTGTCCTAGTGTCACATTGCCACCATTTCTGACTAATAGCAATTTGTGTGTTTTTCATAAAATGTGAAGAATGTAAGAAAGATGAACTTCCCTGATGGTTTCTCATTAATTTCTGCACTGAAAACTCAGATGTGGCAGAAGGGGCATAATAAGAAGTCATCCTGAGGTTGCCATAAAGCTAAAAATGTACTGTCACACAGAGCCAGTAATAGGAAGTAACAGAGCATCTTTTGCCTCACTGTAGAAACAGTGGGGGGGATGGCAAAGGCAAAAATTTTTCCTTTATTAATTGACTCTGGGCTGGTGAAAAACTCACTTTATTCATATATAGCCTGACACTGTGTTGCCAGCACATCTCTCCAGCACAGGTATCTCTGCAAGCTGCACAGGCAATGCTATCAAGTATTATTTTAAACTCATACCCACTTTCTCCATCCAGTCAGGCACAACAGAATCAGACCCTGTTGCTTCAGTGGATCAAAGGTAGGTGCATCTTGATGAATACTAGGAGTTAAGCGAAGATATGCAGTGTGCATTTCCTAAAGGAGAGTTCCATCCTAGAGGCAGGAACTGAAAGAAAAGGATTGATGGAGACTCTTTTTATAGATGTTCAGACACTTAATATCCTTTATGAAAGAGTAATGCATTTTTATGATACCACTATAATTTTATTAGATCTACTATACTTTAAGTCTACTTTTACTGGGCTGAAGCTAATGGGATTTTGCAGCCCAATGAATTTAGTTGTGAAAGGTTGTTTTGCATGCACTGAGCTAGTGATCCCCACAGCAACCATCTCAGTGTTGCAGGAAAAGGGAAGAGGTGGTACCTCTGAGAGGCAAGAGGAGGGAGATTTCTCCTTCTAACCTTTGAGTTTTCAACCACTGCTTACTGTTACTGCAGTCGCAGAGGTATAACTATGGGAAGATGTGATTTTAAAGGCCTCTGTTTTTTTCTTTCCACTTATCACTGGAACAACAGCAGGATCTTTGACAGGATGCCTTTTGCTGTGCTTAGCACAGTCCAGCTACTAGCCCAAATCATCAACAAGGGAATTTTTTTAGCAGAATTTGCCAGGTGATGGAAATGGAGTCCCAGAATACCTGATGAAAGTCATGTTCCTCTGTATCTCACCCATGCTGTTACTCAGCTCTTACTTATCCTGCACTATCCTGCACTTATGTTCTAACAACACACATTACTTTTCCCTAGATGTCAGTTCCCTGAGGGATTTAGCTTTTCACTTTTTCTCGTGTTCTTTTGGCAGAACCCAAGACACTCTGACCTTCTCCAATACAGTTATCATCTCATGAAGAGCAACTCTATGGAATTTCTTAAGGCATTTTTTCACTTGGGATACTTTATTTTCACAATATAGGGGCTTTGTTAGCTTTGGTTTTCTACTCCTTTCATTTTAAAACCTCTTGAGTGGCAAAAACTTAGACCAGACAAGCAACTGCCTTAAGAGATGCATATTTTTGGATGCACATTTAATTATTCTAGATGAACATTAAAACAAAACTATGTGGAGAGCAGACCTTACTGCCAAAATTCTGAGTGCAAAATAAGTAATTTCAAGCCAAACCATGCCTTGGAATTGATGTAACCATATGAGGTTTGGGTAAATTACTTCCAAAAGGTTCTCCAAAATGGCTCTCGGGATGTAGGCTTTCAGTTCTACTAAACTGACATTAAATAAGCAAGTTTACTTTTAAGTAAATGCCTTAGTAAGGAAGGACTTACTTTACATGTTTTCTGGAAACACAGCACCAGAAGTTGAAGAGGGTATGACATCAACTATTTCTTGGTGAGCCTATTTGCACTCAGCTAATCAAAATGCACCATAGGTCCATGGGAAGGTGCCAGCTATGCTGATACTCAGACTTGAAAAGCATGAGCCACAGCTTGTGCTTTTTTTAATATAACATGCTTTGAAATGCCAAGTAAATTATTTTCACTTGATTAAAGAAAGCAGTCAACTTTGCAGAAAACAATTTATTAAATACATGAGACTTGGTTGCTACACATAATTACAGACAAAATACTGTGAATAAAGCATGCAGTTATCACAGACATCAATGACTATTCTGATTAATTTTTAAATGGTCTTTAATTCTGTAAGTTAAGGCTGTACCAATACAAATCTTAAAAATGGAAAATAAGAAGTCACACTACAATAGTAGCAAACATTGTACAGACACTGAAACCAATCTCTAATGCAGCAGAACCAGACTTGTTAAAGATTATCATAAGGGAAAAAAAATGGAGGTGAAGTGCAATGAAGGTCAGAATATCTCTGGAATTTACAGATCAGTAACAGTGAATGTCATACTCAATTAGCACAAACATTCTTTTCGAAAGCCTAATTATCTGACAACTAAGCAAGGGAGGAAACTCATAAACACCATTAAAAAAAAAGAGAAAGGACCTCTTTATTTTAATTGAGGGCACTTCTGTACTCAAACACTAAAAGAACATTTTCAAGGAGACAACGTGGCAGACAACAGTACAACACATGTTCATTTATTCTATCCCCATTAAAGAACAGTGGAGTGTCTTGAAGAAGAAAAATACATTACAACAAAAAAACCAGTTCTCAACTAACACAAGTGACAGACAATTTTGTTGACCATATTGGTTTTCACCTGTGAAGGACCTTACCCTGTATGAAGTTTGCTTCATAAAAATACAGTGCAGATATGGCAGTATGATATTTATATGCATCAAAATTTATCCAGCTGATGAGTAGAAATATTACCAGCTCTGGAAACCTACTGGGCATCTGAGGCTCTAAGTAGGTTATGGAATCTTTCTTCATTTACAGCAGAAAATCCTTTCTGCTTGTTTTTCTCCTGTTGCTGTGCAAGTACATAAACAAGTAATTTGAGGACAACGGGGTTGAACAGGTAACTGAAAATGGACTAGTTAACAATATTACTCATGTTTTCAGAATATGATCCAGTAATGTCTCTCTTCCCCCAAGATATTCTACCTTTGCAGAGCTTAATGCATTAAAATGCATAAAAATATTACTTCTCCCTAATAGAGAAGTATATATAATCTGCTGTATATATAATCTCCCAAAGGCAGGAGCAAGAGATCTGTGTAAGAAGGTGCCCTGTGTACAGAAAACTGCATTTGGAGTGGAAGATAAGTAGCACTCCTCACACTAAAATCTCTGCTTTATATAGCTGATTACAACGGGAGCTTGCAAAGGGCTCTAAAAAAAGCTAAGTCCCCAAATTCCATTGGGGTTTGAATGGATAACTCTTTCCTGGATCCTTTCAGCAGCACAGGCTAAGCTATTTTACAAAAAAAAGCAAAAAGCTGATCCTGCAATATAAAGCACTTTAGACAAAAAATGCACATAAGAGTAATTACAAGACTGACAATATGGACATTATGTACATGGAAGGAATCACTGTGATTGGAAGGTGGTATCTAATGCAAAAAATCACTGGTATCACCCAGTTTGTGTCTCGAAACTGATGAACTGTGGTGAAAAGCAAAGACATGCAATTACAGACTCTGACATGCCACTGGATGGAGGCTAAACCCTAATGCCAGACCTGCGCCTGTAGCACAATAACTGCATTTCCAGTGTGCAAAGCAGGAATAAAGGATACTGACGGCTTTTCTCACTCAGATCTAAGCTGAAGATAATGCAGATAGACCTAGCTTCAGATGGAATAGAAGATGGCAAAAAAACAGCTGCTATGGTGCTGAAATCTGACTTTTTAAATAGACTCTTTTCATAGAAGTTAGGAAGATCAATTGGTAAGACAATTAGTGCAATTGGTGGGACCATGAAGACTCAGATCTAGCTATAAATAGAAGAATTGCAGGATATAAGAACGTGCCTTGAATATTTAATATTAGGGCCACATAGGCAGGAGTTCTGTGGAGTCAAAACTCTTCACTCATACTAGTAGCATGTGTTCATGTGTAAATAGCTATTGGTCAACCAAAACAGTGGAGAACCACATTGTAACTGGTTTCACCTGGATTCTGGTCTAGTAAAATGAGCTTGAAGAAGCTTCGAGTTTTCAAAGGACAATAAAAGGACCTAATATTTCTGAAAAGAGCCCAATTGCCCTCAATGGACAGGAACTGAGGTGCTGGAAAAGGCTTCTAATCCCTTGTGGAAGGTTTTAATCTGCAGCTGGGGTTTTCAAATTCATCAGTTTGTGGAGGACTGGCTTGCAACCTACTACACAGGATGATTTTCAATGTGTTCTGTATGCTTCAACATTGTTTTTTGCAAATGTCCTGGGTATCACAAAAATGAAAAAACTACACTGAGAATTTTGGCATACGTTTATTCAGGTTTTGTTGCTGTTGTTGGGGTGGTTTTTGTTTTGGTTTGTTTGTTTTTGTGTGTGTGTTTTTATTTTGGGTGTTTTTGTCTCTGTGTTTGTTTGGGTTTTTTTTAAATATTTGACATCAGCAGGGCTGTAATTTTTCCTGCTTGAAGACAGAGATGACTTTAGACCAATACTGCTGCGGATGAATTCAATGTACTCTTGTTTTCCCAATCACGCAGTTTTTCTGATAACCCGTTATTTTTTATTTGAAAAGTTTTTTAAAGACATGTAATGGGCTTTCATCTCTCAGTAGAGACAGCAAATTGATGGTCATTCTTTCCTTTTTTCCATACAAAACACTGTTTTAAAAACCAGCCTAGGTACAGTGAATCACGCTGGGAAACCAGGCTGGGAAATGCACTAGAGAACTGAATATCTGACATTTCCCTCCTGATTGTTTCTGTTGTATTTTCAGTAGGATACAATTTCAGTCTGTCAAAATCTTATCAAATCGAATGCATATGAGTGTGTATATTTGCTATACAGCCAGATTCTAAGCAGAGGGCAGAAGGAGAACTGAAAATGCAATGTCAGAATTTTGATAAACAGGGCTTTTCTACCATGTTATTAGAAAGAGAAAGACCAAAAATATTGGTCTTGAATTTCATCCAAGTCTCATTTGGCAGCAATGTGTGGCTTCAGCTGAGGCAGAACAGAGTGGAATCCACCACTTGACCAAGCTAACTCTTGTCAGCTCACAACTCCTGCAAGTACCAACAGAGGACTGCTGTCATTAAATGGTGCTTTAGCATGCTCTGCAATGACTTGAACAGGCTTGGCTATTCTCTGGATCCATCACCAACATTTGGGTGCTATGCATTCCCTCCAGCTCACAGACTGCTGCTGCAGGAGGTGCAGCAGAAGAAGATGGCTTCTTTTCAGCTCTATTAAAGGTGGTGTTTTTTTTTTTTTCTCCAAGTAAAAATCATTGAGAATATACTTGAAAGAAAGATGGAGAATTAAATATTATTTCTTCTTCTTTTTCCTTTTTTTTTTTTTTTTTTTTTTTTTTTTTTTAAACTTCAAGCTGGTAAGTGATCATCTGTGCAGAACAAGATATTAGAAGCTTGGCATCTCCCATCTACCACAACATATTGATTCCTTCTACAGAAGGCACTAAATACTGGCATAAAACAAGAAATGATCAGCAGAATGCGGAGTTTTAGCATGACACACAAAAATTCTGCAAACTGGCACAGTTTCATAGCACAGTTTTCACTTACTTAAAATGGTGGTGATTATAGCAGCAATGGTTAGGACTTTTACAAGTACCACATAAATACACAAATGTCAGAACATCAAGAAAACATGCAGAATTTCAACAGCAACATCACTGAATCACACAATGCATAGAATTGTTATTATTATTATTGTTATTATTATTATTATTATTAGGCAAGACAGTGAAATTTTTTTAATAAAACAGAAGATTTAACAAAAATCTACTTTCTTACAAACTATTAATAAAAAAAACAAGTTGCAAAGTCAGTGAGTGAGCATTAGCCTTAGAGGTTTAACTCTAAGAATGGATTGGTCACTATGGAAAATTCACATTGTTAGGTGGAAATTTGGTTATGTTTAAGCAAAATATATTTTTCAACTGCTATCTTGAAAGAAATAGTGCTAATCTTGTCAATTTACAAAATGACAGGAAATACATTCATGTTAAAAGATTAGAAAGATTAAACATTGCATGCATGGAAAGAAAAAAGCCTTGCTTTAGCTATTTCTCCTAGCACTGCTCACCATGAGACCAAGGGCTGTCATAGCAAAAACGCTTTTCAAAGGCAGAGTTAAAGCCTGAAGATAATTTAAAAAAATGGAAATTATTTTCTAATTCCAGTGTAAAAAAAAGTAGGATATTAAAGGATAAGGATTATGCCTGCCTTCTTTAATAAAAAAGACAAGAACTTCCATTGTGTTTACCAGGCTTTCCCACTGCCTTTGCACTACCTTTGTTGCACTTGGATATTCTGCCACTTCTTTTTCTTCCAGTCTGGAATATTTGGTCTACCCTGACAGGTCTCAAGATGACCCTGAGATAGATGGGTCACATGGACAAAAGCAAGCACTGACAACACAGCAGTGGCCAAGGGATGTCCTTTCCTGCCTTCCTCAGACCCTCGTGTTTCAGTGGGGCTAGTCCTGTGCTTGGGGGGACATTCAGCAACAGCCTGAGCTGGGTGGGAGCAGAGGACACAGGATGCATTTCCCACAGAGCTCCGCAAAACTGGCACCAAATTCTCTCCAGCAGCAGCACCACCCAGCTTGCAGGTGCTGCCATAAATAGGTGCAAAATCAGGTTCTAACCACTTCGTCCCCTGACAGACTTCAGACTCCTTTAAGATATTTTTGTCTGCACATTCTGAATGCTCTGGATACTTCTGCACCTGCATTTCCTGTCCATGCACACAGCCCTGTGCAAGGAACCCCATCTTTCAAGTCTCTCACAGAGAAAGCTCCTGAAGAAGGCAAAGCTTGCAAGACCTGAACCATAAGCATCAGGCAGAAAACAAGGCAATTTACACTGCAGTCATTGTTCAGTGTACCTTCAGTCTCAGAGTCACTAGGATATTTGTCACTCTACCAAAATCAGTTCAAAACCGTTTACTATTACCTTGCCTTCTATATCCACCTGATACTGAGCCAGTGTCTCCTGCACTGGCTTGTTTTCAGGCTGGAAATTTACATATAGTAAGTGTATTAAATGTGTGATAGTAGAAGAGAATGAGGAATCCTAGCAGGAGCAATGTGGGGCAGACCAGGGACTACTTAGGGCTATATATGATGCAGGCTAGCTGAGGACATGCTCTAATGGTAAGGAAGGCTGTCTCAAGAAGATTACAGCCTTCAGAGAGCAGGTCAAATTCTAGGCATGAGGAATGTCAGAAATTTGTCTTTGTTCATAAAAAAAAAAGGCAGCTGAAATGGCAAAGATAGTATCTGTAAAATTAATTTTAAAAAGTTAGTTTTCTAGTGTGGGAATAATACAATATTTTTGTCCTGAACATTTTGCATTTTCTTGACGTTTTTACCTTCAGTCTGTTTTGTTATTTTCTTGACACTTATGGACTGTATAAAACAGTACTAATGAAAAAGAAACTTGTACATGGATTCCCAAAGCATTGTTTAGAAGAGCTAAATACCTCTTCTTATTCCCACTGAAACTTTTTCCCACTGAATTTCAAAGATAGCACCTACCTCACCAGTATCTTAAATGCTGTGAAAGAAATCTCTATTAATTACAAAAGATCAAATTGAAATCTGAAAAGGTACTGTTTTTCTTCAGATCCTAGTAACTGCTGTGTAGGGAATGCTGACCACAAAAAATAAAAGATTAGCCAAAAGCACCCTAATCCCTTTGAAACAGTAAGTCCATCTCAAACACAGAGACAACTAATTTAGTGGCATTTCTATAATAAAATAAAAATAATTTTGTCTGCATTACCAACTAAAATTAACCAATTCAGTGAGAAAACAGAGGGAATATATTAATTGCTTGAGACAGAGATCCATCAGTTCATGTAATGAGAAAATTTTATACCAAACCGATCTTCTCCCCCCATCAGAGTAGGTATTAAAGCTTTAGACGTCACCACTGCTTCAAATATGTTCCAGTGAGTGGATAGTGTCAAACTTTTCAGTAAGCTCAGAGGTGTCTCTAGGTTATGGGGCTTTATAGAATTTGTAAATGCCTCTCTGCTGCTTTCATGAAGAGTCAAGGTGCTGCAGAACAAGGTCAGCAGAGCTTCATGGGATGTCAGCCAGAGAGCAGTGGGAAGGAACTGGCACAACCTGTTTTCCATGCATGAAGCTGGAAGCAGTGCAACCATGCAACTCATTGGGGGCTCAGGGAACCCCAACGTGTCCTCAGAAGGTCCACTCCCTTGCTGGCTGAAGTTAGGCTTCTGTGAAGGAGGTGGAGCACCGATTCCTGGGTGGTCCGTAGACTTCCAAAACCACTGAGGACACACAGTGCATCTTCACTTGTTTGTAATACGCTGTCCATGGGAAGACATCATCATTTAGTTGTGCTTAGAGCCTTCCCCCTTCTTGGTTTGCAGATGCCCAGCTGATAGGAGTGTCCTTGGCAAGCTGCCCCCGAGCTCTACGTTTGGAGAATGGTGCAGTGACGTTCATACTGGCTCTGCACAGAGAAAACAGATGTGCTGGGAGACACCAGCTGATGATGCAGTACTGTCCCCAGCCACGAAGGCATGACTCAACACATGGCAATCATCACCAGAAAGTACAGTTCAACTTTCGTGGCGAGGAATATAGCCATGCTTTATGTCGGATGACATCCTCTCCCCACAGCTCCTCAGCACTGAGTGCAGGTTCAGCACACACAGGAAAGGATAGAAAGAAAAGAAAATACATCCTGCCCCTTAAGAACAAGGACAGCAAAGAAGCCATCTCTTCATGCTGACATTTAGCATAGAACACTCGTTAACAAGTGCAGACCCACCTCCTGCCACGTTTCATAGTGAACAGCTGAGTCCTTTTCTTCCCTAACCCAGAGGCATGAATTGGCTCATTTCAGGAAAATCAAATGATATTCCTGTGTCCTGTAGGTTCTCTTCTTTAACACACATTCCCACTGCCTCTGAAAGTTCAGGGTGTTGGACAGGTCCCAATGCCCTGTTGTCTGCACCGTGTGAGATGAATTTCTCTCCCTGACAGAGTAAGACCAGAAGTTGCATACTGTCAAGGATTCAGTTGTCTCAGTCCTATTTTAATGATGTCAGTGGACAGCCAAACAGCACACCGATGTGGACCAGGTCCTCTACACAGGAGTAAATTTAATCTCATGTCATGACTTGAAAGCTCTCTCACAAAAAGCAGAATAGGGAAGGAGAGTGCAAGACATGCAAGCCTCCAGAGTGCCCATATGCAGTATTCCACAAACCCCACATAAGGTGGGCTACCCTGAGCACGTTATCCCCAAAGCACAAGGTCACTTGATAGGCAGGGAGGGAGCTCTCAGCTGAGAGCTGCCTTGCACAAAGCTGCCCCACGGTGCAGACACCAGGAAAGGGATCAGGGATGGTGGGATTAGCAGGGATGTTGAGGATGGGGAACACCAGTCAGTCAATTGTAGTCACTTGCAGATTGTGAGAAGGAATGATCAGCCCATGCACCACATGTGCTAGTCAGGTCAGTCAGTGCACTCATGGGATGTACTCAGACATCGTGACGAGAAAGAGTAAATATGAGCTGCACCAGGAGGAAGCCTAGTGCAACCAGAATCTCAGTTTCCCTTAAGGCTGTTTCAGTCCTCAGGGCAGCCTTGGCTCTAGAGTGACACAACACCTGCTCTTTCTGATCCCCATCTTACCACCCCACATCGCTTGCACAAACAACAGAACAAGATCCAGTCACAAACATCTGAGACACAGACACACAACACTCCTTGCATCTTATTCTCTACACAGCTTTCTAAGAGGGCAGCAATGCTGTAGGCTGAATAACAGTGCACAGTGGCTTCAAAAAACAAAATAGCTTGGAAGTGTTAATTTTTATGAAGGAGAATATGCAACACGGACACTGATTTCATTGTCAGATTGTCCTCTATGCCAGTAGCCCTGATGCCGCTATCACGGAATTATTGCACTGTGCAAATGAACAACGTATGTGCTGTTATTTTACATATGCCTTGGAATTTAGTTTACATTGTAGTTCATGACAGTATTTCATTCTCCTGCACTTAAAATTACATTTTGTTGCATAAATACATTTTTAAAAATAAAACAGGCAGTTTGCAACACCCAGATATCAAAGATTTCAGTTCCAACTAGCTGCATGAAGACATGTGCAAACCCACAATATGATAAATACATGTATGAGTGACTAATAAGACAGAGCTTAAGCCACTCAAAGTGCCCACAGCTCTTCCCACCTACATGTGCAATCACATGAACAGATCCAAATGCATGTATTGTGCACAGCTGCATCCAGATCAATCCGGTGACATCGATATATGATCCCCATGTTTGACTCTTGTTTTGGCATCCTGAGAAGGCCACGTGGGAAAACCAGCACTAACATTGCTGCAGACTCCTTTGCACTGTGTGCAGGTCTGTGCTTTGGCACTTCGCCTCAAGTTTCTTAAGTTCAAGGCCAAATTTTGCTCTTGGTAGCACTGAGCAAATCTCCCAAAAGCTTGTAGATAGTTCTGAAGGCATCAAATACATCTGTAAATAATTTGGAAGAATCTCAATCTGCATTATCCTTTTGATGGGTTTCCAATAGGATGCAGTAGCTGAGCCAGGCCGATGACTCTATGATGCTGGTAGGTGAACACCATCCTCTGTCTCCCCAACTGCCTCTGCACCTGTTTTTGACTAGATCCAACTCAGTATGCTGGCAGAAAATTATATGACTTCCCCCTTTTTTTTGCTGTGTTTTCTGCTGAGCTATTGAATTGAAATCATTCACTGAAGAGGTCTAACACCAGATCAGAGAAAGGTGAGCGGCAGGAAAAAAAAGGAAGGGAAAAAGAAAGGAGAAAAGCAAGCCCCGTTTTGGAGACAGCTACCCCTGGCTCCAGAAAATCACAGTCTTACAGCTGGGCAAAAGCTCAGCTTTTACTTCAGAGTATGATGAAGCCAGAAGTGCAGCCAGCCAGCCACCAGCAGTGCCTCACTGCCGCCCCTGCACCCAACCACCATCTACAGCCTGTGCTGGACAGGGGCAGGACAGTGCTTTGCCAGCTGCCCTTGATTTCATGGTCAAAGGTACTCAGCATCAAGAGCCATGATAGGAGACTCCAGTCCTTCATTTAGGCAGAGGGGAATGCTGGTAAGAGTTGGCAGCAACAGCCCCTGGACACATTGCTCTGTCTTAGCACCATGGAAGCTGCACACCATTGTCATGAGCTTGCAATTTTTTGATGGAACAGGTGTGACACCCTCAGTTGAAGCACTGGGAGATAACTACAAGCAACTTTGTCCCCCTGTCAGCTAAGCTGCAGCACCTAGGACATCTATTCTTCTACAAGTATGAGAATAAACCATGAGAGTGGTTTAAATCTGAAGTCTCCCTCCCAGTGAGTTAACAACCTTTCAGGGCTTTAATACAAATAGTAATTAAATAAGCTGTGGTCACTTAATTCTTTGTAACTGTCCACAAATGAAGACTGAATATATGTTGCATTACATGCCCTTCAAAGCTAATAAATTTATTTTTTGACCATAATACTACTTGGATATCATATTCTGGCCATATATGTTTAACTTCTTCAACAAGTAGTCTGTGTGGGCTGCCCCATCAGAATCCGCCAGACAATCTGCCATCAGCACTAACTGGACGTTGGAATCACTAGAGATACCACAAAGCAGAAAAAAATGCTCCTGTAATCACAGAATCACAGAATGGGTCAGGTTGGAAGGGACCACAGTGGGTCACCTGGTCCAACCTCGCTGCTCAAGCAGGGCCATCCTAGAGCACATAGCACAGACTTGTGCACAGATGGTTCTTGGGCATGTCCAGTGAGGGAGAGCTCATAGCCTCTCTGGGCAATCTGTCCCAGTGTATGGTCAGAGAGATACTCCAGTCCCTTAATCATCTTTGTTGCCCTCCATTGGACCTGCTCCAGGAGTACTGAGGAGCCCAGAACTGGACACATCACTCCAGGTTTGGCCTCACCAGGGATGGCTGAGCAGGGGAGCTGGATCATCTCCCTTGACCTGCTGGCAATGCTCTTCCTGTTGCTCCCCAAGATACCACTGGCCTGCTTGGCCACAAGAACACACCGCTGGCTCATGGACACCTTGATGTCCACCAGGACTCCCAGGTCCTTCTCCACCTGCTTTCCAGCAGGCTGGCCCTCAGCCTGTGCTGATGCGTGGGGTTATTCTTCCCCAGGTGAGGACTCTGCATTTGCCTTTGTCGAAGTTCAGGCAGTTCATCTCTGCCCAGCTCTCCAGCAAGGGCTGCACAGTCAGGTCTCTCAGCACTCCTGGATGTATTCCATCAGAGCCCATGGACTCTGGACATCAAGTCTGCCTAGGTGTTCTCTGACCCAATCCTCCTTGACTTCCAACATTTCTTTACTCTGGTGTCCCGGGTCAGAGATTCCTGAGGGTTGGTCTTGTCAGTGAAGACTGACACAAAGGTGGCATTCAGTAACTTGTGTCCTCTGTTACCAGGGTAACCCCTCTATTTATTAATGGGCCTGCATTATCTTAGTATTCCTTTTGGTTTCTATTTATTTGAAGAAGCCCTTCTTGTTGTCCTCGAAATCCTTGGCCAGATTTAATTCCAGTTGGGCCTTGGCCTTCCCTGTGATAATACCAAGACTATCACAATAAGTACAGATACTCCACAGCTCATCCCCCAACCAGACAAGCAAAGGTTGCTGATGTACCCTCCTAAGTCAAGGGTTTGCCTCACCCAGTGCATGTGCTGGACATCAGCACAAACCATCCTAATACTCTGGTAATCAACAACTTTGGCAGCATGTGGAGTTACGATGTCAAAGACCTTCCTGTTCAAAACTCAACAGTGCCAGTCTTCTTTCTTCCGAGGTCTGTGTTGGGGCTGAATTTCAACACTCATGTGAAGCAGCACTTCAAAGATCTGCTTGTAGCACAGCCCATGAACAGCCTGTGATCTGCTCCTTGGGGTGAAGTGGGCCTGTTGGGTGGGGAGGAGAGGTGGGAAGTGGAGATCTGCTGTTCCATCAAGGCCAGCTGATGCACATCCCCATATTGCAGAACGGGAAAGGAAATGTAGGGAAGTAGGTCAGATCCTGCAATAGCTGCCACTGGATGTGTTGAGATGAGTGCCAGTGGGGGAGAAACAGAGACCAGACTTTCCTAGAGGTAGGCTCCACGGTTGAGCTCTCACCTGGCATCCCTAGAGAGCTCCTTGGCATAGCATTTCCTGCACTCTAGCACATACTAAGAGCAGCTGCATGAGTCTTCAGTGGAAAACTGCACAGAAATTCCACAGAGAGCAGCACTGGCCTTGCAAAACTATTTTTATCTGTATCACATTAAAAGCACTGCTGTGGAAAGGCAAGGCAGTGCAAACAGCAATTGGATGTCTCACCTCATCTGGAAACTGGACAGCTGTCCCTCACCTTAAGTCTTTTTGTGCTTCTGTTTCCTTCACATATAAGTCAGAGTTGCCATGGCACTGAAAGTCATGGACACAGCTTGCAGTCACTTCAGTAGTGTCATGATTTGGTCTCAAGCTCCAAAACAAAGTTACAAAACGATGGCTCTGCACTATGACTGCTTGTGCCCACCAGTCCACTGTCTTCCCTACAGTCCTGAGAGACAGCAAACAGTAAATGGGGAGCTGTAGAGCTGGTGTTACATTGCCATGGCGTGCCAAGGCTCTAGGACAGCTGGCATATAGGAAGCCCAGACTTTGTACCAGCCTTGTTACGTGTGGAGAACAAAGAGATAAAAGCCAGGTTGTGTCCCCTGCACAAAGCTTCCTGGGAGGACAGATACTTATCATACTAGAAATCTCTGCACTTAGGACTTTCCAGTGGCACATCTGCTACCTATTTCATCCCCAGATCAGACCTTCAGTAAGGCTTAAATGAGGTGCAGACATTCTGCCACCTCCCTCACACACAGAAACATTTCATCCTAGCAACACAGAAAACAGGTTTTAGGTGCCAGGTGGGTTATTTCTATTTGCTACTTTTGTTTCACCTTTTCTTTGGAATTAGTGATGATTAAAGTCATTGCACAGCTGCAGACCTAAAGAATATGAAGGATATGCAGGAACGTGAAGAAATAAGGACAAACAAACATAAAGAAACACAACAATTAAGAATCTCAAAACAAGAAAGCCCCTCAGTAACAGTTTGATCCAACACACAGGGGAAGTCAGCTGAGGCTGACTCTTTCATTGACTTCAGCAGACAGATCACCCCAGCAGACTTGTCTAAAGCCTCATCATATCCCTAGCACATCCTTGTGCAACTTAACCTAAGCTTAATTACTTGAAAAGTACCATTCATAATTTTAAAGGTTAAGAATTATAATTGTTCACTGAAATAGTAAATTCGTTAGTGTTTTCCCCATACTTGGAGAAGAACAATCATATTACTAAGTCAGAATTTGGAACAGCAGCACTCATTATTTCAAGGCTTAAAGGACCAAATTCTGCCTTCAGATTCACATGCACATTTTACACTGTCTGCACTGGAAATAGGTGATGCGTAGCCAATTTAAATTTGTATTCTAGCACTTAAAACAATCCAACTTTTTAATTTTCTATAGAATTTTTAAATTCTGTATTGTCCTACTCTCTCTTGTTTGGTGGATTTCAAAGGATGGCTTAAGACATATTTGATGCAATTTTTCTGTACAGTTTGGGATAAGATTGCAGATTTTTCCGCACTGTTACATTTCCCAGAATACTGAAAGAGTGCTCTAAGTCAGCAGATTTTAAATTATGTACACACAGTGACAAAGTATTACCAACCTATGCCTAGAGAGATAAAATTATGTGTATGACAGTGGTTTTGCCACTATACTTTTGCATATTGTTGAGAACAATATTTTTTAGTCTAAAAACCAGAAACATTTCTGATCCCAAAAAAATCAACAAAAACAAAAGTTAAAAATAGCTTTTAGCTGATTTCAGGAATTTTTTTTAGCACAAATGAGCCTCAGGAAACATAATAAAAAACAGACAAAAAGTGCTGTAAATGGTTTTGTGAACTTACATTGATGTATTTCTTATTTATTGGCCTTGCTGATCACGAATAAGCCAGCAGGTAAAAAGCAGCAGCCACTGTAAAGTTTGTCTCCTCCACTGTGGGAGGCCATGTTAAAATACCAAGTTGAAAAAAAACGCTTTGAAACAGAATTGCTACGTAAGCCTCTCTGGGGATTTACACTCACTAACGTGTGTATGTTAAAAATGGTATTTTCAGATGGTATTTTCAGTCTATCTTGTGTTGCCTGAGAACCATTTTTATCCTTTTAAAATCTGCATTTATATTAGAACCCATAAGTACCTTTCATTTTTGTATTAACACTATAAATACTATGTTAGTAATACTAAACTATTTCTGTTGACCTATTTGCAAAAAGAAAAATATATTATATATTTATATATTCTTATAAAGTGAATTAACGCTGGAGGGAGGGCTATGGGGGGCAATAGTGTACAATCACAGTTGATGCGTATTATTGAGCACAAATTCAACGTTTGAAACAAAAAAGGAAAAGAAAAAAGAGTTCAGGTCATATCCCTCTTTCAGGCTGTGTCAGATGAGGAGTCATAGGACGCTGACACTATGAAGTTGCCGGTATTGGAGTGGCTTGCCATGGACTGGGCAGCCTGCTGGCTCAAGTTATTGCAGATCAGCACCAGCTGGTTGCTCTGTGCTTCTGAGAGGGTGCTACAGCTCTGGTAGACGCTGAAGTTGGTCTTCCGGCCGGGGATGTTGCCCTTCTCACACATCGTCTTTACCATCTTGGCCAGCTTGTTTTTCCCCAGGGCTTGGCAGTTGTACCAGTGAAGCGCAGCCAAGTTGACGACGGGTTTGATGGACAGGTAGAAAGGCGCATCCTCGTAGCGCATGGCCGGAGGGCGCCTCTGGGCGTACTCCTTGTAGTCCTGCACGGGGCAGGTCTGGGGGGAGTGCTGCGTGGCATACACCCGGGAGTCCGTCCCGCCCCTCTTGCTCTTGGCACTGACGTCTCCGTTGTCTGGCCCCATCCACTCCAGGTACTCCAAACCAGTCTCTGTCACCCGCAGCCGGATGTCTCCCCACTTGAGGGTAGACCCGTGGAAACCCGTGCAGTGTCCGAACGCCTTGGTGTTGTTTAGCCACACCAGGTTCAGCAGCCCCTCAGGATTGTACCGGCTCAATAAGCCTCTTTTGCGCAGGATAAGCTCATCAGCAAAGGTAAGCTTCATGGATTTGTGTGGCTTGTTTCCTTTTCCTTTACACCTCAACTCTATCTGCTTTTGCTTTAGAGCTTCCTGGGACCTCTTAAACTCTTTGTCCCTTGTGATACTGTATCCATACCTGTGCTCTTTCAGATACCGCTCCAGTCCACACTGATAGTTGGCCAGACTGTTTGGCTCATATTCAGACCCATCCTTTTGCCTGGCATCCACAAAGAAGGAAGCAAGGTAGGCATCAAGCTCTTTGCAGGGAATGACATAGATCTCACGGGTCTCAGAGGGGTACTTGGAGATGAGGAACTCTCGGAAATTGCGCAGAGCCGTCTGCGTGCTGCGAATGGTCTTCTCATTCTGCTCTCTGCTGAGTTCCGCTGCTCTCTCATCCTGGTCTGGAAGAAGAAGAATGGGACAGACAAAAGAAAGCAGAAGCAGTGAGTCTGTGTGATGTGCTTTTCCCCAAAATAAATCTCCTTAAAAAAAGAAAAAAAAAATTAAAATCAATTTCACAAAGAGCACTGGGAAACATCTTTACATACGTGTCACGTGTCTGAAATGTCAACTTGAGGTTTACAAATTATGTACTAGGGTATGATATAAAACTAAAGTGAGATCCTCATGACACTGGGGCACAGTTTTGTGCATGGAGATTTGTGGAAAACATTGGGATTACAGGTACTCTGCTTTTTAGAACAAGTGTAAGGTAGAAGACTTTTCTGTGGATCCCAATGCTGTGTGCACGGCTCAGTAATAAACGTATTCTGAATTGTTTCACTTGTGAAACCAGAAGTTGTACTGGTTTCATTTTGTTTTCTAAAAAAAATTACTAAAGCACTGTATTTATGACAGCAATTTTTATCTTTAATCAGGCACATTTTTAAAGGGCTAAATAAATAAAGTCAGAAATGTACAGTACAAAATAACGCAGCACATCCTAAGAAAGGAGTTGACAGATTAAATTACTACACAGCAATGTGCAATTTACAAATGGACAAGAATAAAAAAAGGTAGTTAATATGTTTACATCCAAAGATATCGATCAAACACATAATTATATGGTCTCTCTGTGTAATCAAACTGTACCTTGACAGTGGAATTACAATGTGACAATTTCTTTTTGTTTTGCAGAAAAATCAAATTCTGGAAACAACGTGACACTGCTCTCTATGGCTATACTCAAAGATCCTTATAATCAATGGCATATCAATATTCAGATGCTACCACTATGATAGCTGTTACTGACAGCTGATTTTCTGGCTGATCATAAGCATAAAAAGGAAAGGCTTTAAAGTGATGTGTGTTGTTAAGAACTGTTTTCTTGGCATAAGCAAACTATCTGTTTGCACAAGGATGCAGCTTACAAGCACACAGGTGGAACTGTCACTCTGAATGTGATAAACCTTAATGGTTTTAGAAAATAAACAGCAAAGGCAAAGAAGGAAAAATCCAGTTATTCTACTTAAAAAATAAAGTTGTTTTTTATTGTTTTGTTGCAAACCCCAAACTTTTTGGTATCCTGTTAACAATGCCATAGTAACACTCACCAGGTGTTTCCCAACCAAGATACACACCACAAAGTAGTATGAGACCAGGTCAAGTTCCCATCGCCTCTCTGGCATTCAGGCCAACCTTATGTCAGGCCGTGTAGCACACCCATGGCTTTGCACCAGTTGCTCCTCCTCCTCCCTGCAAACCTCTTAACAGAGGAGGAGGCAACAGGGAAGGGAAAGTAACCCTATCTCCTTCCCTAGCCCATCTACAATGTTTCATGTGGTAGACAGATATTGGTGCATGCTGGACAGCTATAGACTGACTCCCAGGAAAGTTCATCTCATCACCTCCATACCACATCTGCAGAGAGAGGTATGGAGAGTGACTTGTCCCAGGACTTCCCAGCAGAACAGAAACAGGTCCCGTGTCTTCACTGTGAATCATCTGCCACACCCAGAGCACTCAGGGAAACCTGCTGAGAGGGGTCCTCAAACCTCTGCAAAGCACAGAAAAGTGGGCATCTGCAGCTGAGGCCTTTGGGGGCTTCTGCAGACATGAAAAAATGCTGCCACAGAGCACTAAGGTTTGCTTGAACTGGGCTCAAGGGGGAAAAGAAAGGCCACCAGCCCGATTCAGAAACTCGTTTTAATACTGATGTCAGCATCGAAAAGACCTCCTAGAATCTTGCGGCGAAGTCTCATGCTTTAGGCAATGTATAGAGTAGGTCCTTTTAGTACAGCTAGATGCAGGCTGGAAACAAAGAGACAACCCTCCTTAAAGCTCCAAAACAAACATTTACTCTAGTATGCTATTCACTGCACCCACAACCACTTATTATAGAACTGTGTAAGTAATCAGTGCTTTGACTGACAGCCCACATGTTAAGTACTATTTCAATATAAACAGCACATATAATGGCTCAGTTTTATACATGTCATCAATCACTACTTCGTAAGAGGATAGCCTGTCACAACACATCAGTGACACCCAGTCAGTCATTTATGTTACAGCATCTTTCCTTAATCTGCAAAGGAAATTGCCCTATCTGCAGTTAGCAGCATAAAACCCAGGCTGAATTAAAGGTCCCCCCAAGTTGCATCAGTGAAACAGTACCCCGGAAGCATTGCATTCCTGCAGTGCTGTGGTGTGGTGTGGTGTGTGTTACTCCACAAGGCAGGTGGGCAGTGTTAAAAAATAAAGGGTTGGCTTCTCATGCAGCCACATCAGGAGAGTTCTGTCTCTACTTTGACTCTGAATCCAGGTTGCAATGGTAGAAGTGGATTATTCTCTTCCTATGAGACCACTCAAGTACTGGTGATGTACCACAGCATAGAACAAATGCAGGGAGTTTCCAGTGTAACAGTTCCCAGATATTTGCTTTGTCTCACTTTGCTGCATCTTGCTGAATATAGACCAAAAGTTTTTGCAATTTTTTTTTTTAATGTTCTGTGGACCTGGTGGAAATTTCTGAAAACACTGTTGGGGATCTACATTAGTTCCTTGACTACTGCAAACATAAACCTGTGGACCTCCACTGCTCACCATCAACTGCATCATCAGTGTGCATGGGTTCCAAAACTGGGTAAAAGCATAGAAAACAGGTCACAAAGCCCTCTTCAATGCAAGGGAACACCTCTGTATCAGAAGGGCCTGAGCTGTAAATTGAAGGGGGACAGGAGAATGGGGAGGAGTTATATATGCTTGCACATTTCTTATAAATCTTCTGCAGGTATTTGTTCCTAGGCTGTAGGAATACTCTCAGCTAGTAAAGTGGTCAGAACCAACCAACCAAAATTAACTGTCATCATTGATCTACCAAGCTATGCTATCCTTAATTCCTTTTCCTTGTCATAATGCACCCTTTGGAGCTGGTAGTGCTGTTACCTGTTTTACAGACCTACAGCAGAAACATGAAAAAATGAATTGACTTGGAGATGCATTTCCTGAGGTCCTGCCCCCTCAGCTGCATCACTGCACAAAGGACCTGGTTGGAGCTTTTGTGTTTTGTATCTGATCCCACATCAGAGTATCATTTCCAAGAAAACCAGAATGTGGCAGAAAAAGTCAGTATATCCCACTGGGGGATATATCCTACTGGGGGATCCAGGGTAAACTCCCAACTTTGAATTTCAAAATGTGCCGAGTACTTAAGATGTTTCCAGTTTAAATGTAGACAAAGAGATAGTGACCTGGCAGAGATTAAACAGACAACCTAGTGGGAGCCAAGTGTCCCAGGATAGCTCACAACCATCAGATGGTCTCTCCCACAGAGAAACAGCTGTTTTCTGATCTTTTCATAATCTGATCTTAATGCAGCCAAGACTTAATATTATCAGCAGAATTATCAAACTCAGGGTTGTTTTGTTCAGCTTGCACACATACACACACTTGGATTTCCTGAAAAGGACACAACATCTGTAATTACATATGGTGGGGCAAAAACATTTGCTTTCATGACAGATAGATGCAGATTATCAATGTTCAGAGAAGATTTGTAAGAATAGTGGGAGTCACAAATCTGAGTTGTTATTGCAAACAGTCTTAAACTCTGCAGATGGAAAGCACTGAGATCTCACAGATGTACATTAAAAGTAAGGTGATTTTTTTTTGGTGCTAATCACACCTCTAGACAAAGTCTTCTCTACCAAATTTGTGTCCAGACTAGGAAAATGCTTCTGCAGCAGGCCTGCCTCCACCAAAATGCTTTCATTCAAGTGAAAAAGCCCAGATAATCACACACAAAGCACTAGGTATCTCCATGCTGGAGCTAAGTACTCCCCATCACTTGGCAGGTTGGCTGTTGCCCCTGTTCTGCAATTATTGAAAAGCAGCAACAGCCAACCTCTGGGACACGGGCATATGCAGCCCAGTAAAACAGCTCAAGTAAACCACAGCCTGCTCCTGCCTTTCCTTTCTCCTGTCACCTCCTGTTTTAAGAAGGTGTCGGAAGGCAAACCACCTCCACTTGTCAGGAACAAACACACCAACTCCAGTGCTCCCAGGCTTGCCCAACACCGCAGCATTGCACAGCAGGACGCTACAGCTGCTCCCTGGGGCACACCACGGAGAACAGCAGAAACAAAAGATATTTTGCACGACTAAAGAAGAAACCCATATACCTGGTACTTAGGGGATATACAGGCAATATATACTCAGCTCACAGCTGGACTGCAATTTGCCATTTTAGCTGCCCTGTTCCAGGTCAGCCACCTGGATTACAACCAAGCCTGCAACCACCTTAGGGTCTACCTGCCCTGCCTAATCCCTCTCTTATGTCCACAGCTATTACTTCTAAAGGAGGGTTATAAAAACAAATTATTTGGATCTTTATATAGTAGACATTCAGGGACTCAACTCTTCATAGAGGTGGAGGATATAAACATTGTGCTTACAGTTTTCAATACTGCAAACCCAAAACCATTAGAAAACTTTTAAAAAATGTGAAAACCCATGTGTTTCAAAATAACTGACTAAACTTTCTTCAACAATGCTCACTTCTGTTGCGGTAACACTTCTAAGACATAATTGCTATTTTTTTAGAGCTGAGGTTTAATAAATCAGATAGTTTGGTGAAATTGGAATGCTGCTGGAGTTGACAAGTGGCAAAACGTTACCTGGAATGCGAAGCTAATGTCAGCTGTATGTGGAGCATGCATCTTTGCATTCAGCCATATAATATTCTAATAGTTTCCATACAATTCATGGCTAACACCATTAGAAAACTCAAAGTACTGGTTTCAGTTTAAGGCTAAAGAAAAGAAACATTTTTTGCCAATTACTTTCTTCAGGTTAAATATTTAACTCTAGAAAATAAAATTCTTTTTTTACCCAGGACTTTTTAGCAACACAGAGAAATGTTGCCCTTTCAAAGCATGTTGGTTACTTTCATGCTCTGTGGCAG